CATTGGGCCACTTCCCTGACCTGGTCGCCACCCTCAGCCCGAGCTTGGCCTCCTCCACAGATGCTGATGTCACAGGGACTCACTCCCACCCCCGTCAGCCAACGCTCTGCGGGGCTCGAGCCACCCCGTGGGGTTGGGCGAGTGGGGGTCAAGGACGCATCACGATGTTTCTATGTGGGGAGGAAAACAGTTCCTGAAAATGGATTTGTAAGGTTTCTGAAGCTCCCAGTCACCAAATTGTCCCCCCTCCCCACCCCCCATGTGCGTCTGCAGTGGAGATGGTCCTCTGCCGTAGGGAGACACCCCTAAGGAGCCTGGGATCCCAGGGTTCCCGCACCAGGCACGTGAGACCTGCCCCGCCGCCCACACACGTCCTCCAAGGCGGCGGCCAGGCCCCACAGCCCCGGCGACGGGAGACTGGCCACAGGCGTCAGATGGAGCCGGAATGAGAACCACGGCCCCTGAAACATAGACGTCCGTGGTCATGGTCCAGGAAAGGTGTGTGCATGTACGTGTCAGCCCAGTGCCATGGTGAGCAGATGGCCCCCGGTCCACCCGGACGCACAGGCTCTGCCTCGGTCTCACTCAGGGCTGAGGCTCCTGCTCCGGGACCTGCAGATGACGGCGGCAGGAGGAGCCTGAGACTGGGGGCCTGGGGATCCCGGGCTGGGGCTCGGGGTGAATGCGGTCTCTGGGCGGAGTGTACTTGCCGTGGCGGCCTCCCCGGTGTTCTGGGCACTGACCTGCCAGGTGGTGCAGGGACCTCGAGGGCAGAGCTGGGGGAACACGCAGGGCACCAGGCTCTTGGCGTCTCCCGAGCTCCCTCAGGAGGCCTGGGAGCTTTCAGGCTGCAGGACCCAACCTGCGGGCACCGTTCCTCACCAGCCAGACCCTGCCCGTCGCGCGGCACTGGCACAGCACAGAGCTGGTGAGCAGAGACTCAGTTTTACCAACTAAGAATTTCAGGAATTTCCTCCGAGTCTGAAAGAGCACTTATTCGCGGCCGTCCGTGAGGGTGTGAAAGGACCTCTGTGCTCCCGCCGCCCGCCGGGGAGCGGGCTGTGCCCCTCCGGAGGGGCCGGGCTGTGGCCGGTGGACGCTCCGGAGGGCCGAGCACTGGCATCCTGAGGTGACGCATGGCAGCTGCAGGACCCAAACCTGCCTGCCTGGAGCTCTGCTCGCATCCTTCCTGCTCCGCAGCTCCCAGTCCCCCACCTGCGTCAGCCCTGGAATCTGTCACCCCTAAATCATCTCGAGCCCACTCATGGGCCTTCTGCCTGGGCCCTGCGCCCTCTGGCGTCCTCAGGTGGAGGAACCCTCACCAGCCCCTTTCCTGGGTCAGGGGCTGCCTCTAGGGCACTCCTGGTGGGCTGAGCCTCCCTGGTGTCCTTGCCGAATCCTGTCCACGGCAGGCGCTGGGAAGGGGGTACAGTAATGGGCTCGCTGAGGAGAGTGGGGTGCTACGTATGACTGCTCTCTCCACACGCAGCCCACGGGAGCCACGGGAAGAGCTCACAACCACGCTGGCAGACACAGAACCTGACTGTGGCCCCGATCTTATTAGAACCCGAAGTGGCTCGACCCCACCAAGCAGGGCCTGGAGGATGAGACTGGCCTGGAAGGTGCTGGGCTGCAGAAGAAAACGGTGCTGGCCTGGGCGGGGCCCTGGTGGGGAGGCGAGGGGGAAGGGCCTTGCTCCCTAAGCTGGGCTGTCTCGGGGCCTGTGCGTCAGGGGGAGCGGTCTGCCTCCCACCCGCTCACTCTGGGCCTGAATGGAGAGGTATCATCTTGTAATTCAAACAAGATGAGCCCGGCCGGTGTGGCTCTGGATGAAGCATTGCCCTATGGACTGAGAGGTCAGGACATACACCCCCGTTTCAGGCTCCATCCCTGGTAGAGAGTGTACAGGAGGCAGCGGATCGATGCTTCTCTCTCACATTGATGTTTCTATTTCTCTCTTCCCTTCTCTAAAAAATCAATAAAAATAAATTTAAAAAAATAATGAAACAAGACGAGACACAAACGGACAGGAGGTGACTGCCCAGGGCCCCGGAGCAGCCGCCGCGGGCGTGGTGCATTTACACACCCACGAGTGGGCAGGAGCGGTGGAATTCGTCACAGCAGACAGGACGCGGGGCTCTCTGCTCTCGCGTCCACACTCCACCAGAGGTTCACCCTCCTGCACAGACAGGTCCCGTCTCAAAACTGACTCCACGGGACAGCGTCCAGGCTGCTGCCACCTGAGCGCTGTCCCCGAGGCTGCGCGTCCGCCTGACCCCCTCCACGAGGACCTTCGGGGGTACAGGGGGACGCCCACACCAGAGATGAAGGGCAGCGGAGGGGAGGCAGGCTGGTCTGCGCTGCCACCTCTACCCAGGGGCGGAACCTCCAAGTTCAGCCTGTTTTCTCCCTTGTCTGCAGCTGTGAGAGCAGAGCCGGTGGCCGCCTGCAGCCTGCGGTGGGTCCAGCGCCCCCTGGCGCCCGAGGGCGGAGCCGCACAGAGGTCCCGGGTTGAGTGGATGTGACCGGTGTGCCCTGACTCAGCTGCCCGCATCTGGAAGAAACCAAGTGCTGCCAGTCGGAAAGAGAGCTGTCTCCCTGCGGAGGGGGCACCTCTCCTGGACCAGCCCTGCCATCTGCCAGGTGGCCGCCTCCGCCAGGCCGCTCCCTGGAGACCCGTGTGTCTGACTTCTGCTGTCTGCCCACACTTGCCGCTGTCGTGTCCCCTCAAAACTGAGGCTTCGTGAAGAAGGGCCACAGTGAGAACACTCACACGGGTGGCTCTGGGGGACGTCAGGAGAGGCAGGGGCCGTGGGGCCACATTCTCGTCTGCACCAGGGCCTGCTCTGCCGGTCACTGCGTGGCGGTGGCGCGCTCAGGGCCTGTGTTACTGGGTGAGGCCTCCGGCGGTCAGCATGGCAGTGTTCAGAGGTCCGCCGTGGCTCTCCTGTGGGACATGTGGACGGGAGGGCTGCAGACGAGGAACAGGTCCTGAGACTACCAGGCAGAGGCCACACGACAAGGCCCAGCTCTCTCCTAGGTCCTCACCCTCCCGCGTGGCCCGGGTGCCGTGAGGACAAGGGCAGGGGCTGGCACAGAGCTCGGGGTGGCGGCACCCTTGCGCCTGTGATCCCTGAGCCAGCGGGAAGCCCGTCAGCCCTCCCAGCACGAGACACAGCACGGAGAGCCCAGGGCCGGCAGAGGCCCAGCTGACTGCTCCTGCCTCCCGCAGGCGGCTCCAGGACAACCTCCGACCCTCTCTGGCCCTTGCCCCACGTCAGCTGGTGTCTTGGGGCTCAGCTCCCAGGAGCTGTGGCTCCGGCTGACATGGCTCCTGCACCCACGCCAGGGGCTGCGGTCACTTGGGCTGCGGTCGATGTTCGCAGGGAGCTCACACGGGGATCAGGATGGTGTATTTAGTTGTGTTTTTCCGGTGAAAGTTACTGGGAAAGAGACACGTGGGCAGATGTGCCCATGAGCCGCTGGAAGGGCTCTGCTCCATGGGCCGCCTGGGGGGGCGCACTGGCCAGATGAGAAAACACCAAGAATAAAGGACACGAAAACGTGGCGTCAGAGTTGGTTTCTAGGAAGTAGGTGAGGCCCTGGTTGGCGGGCTTGGTTGGTCAGAACATTGTCCCACACACGAAAAGACTGCAGGTTCAGTCCCTGGTGGGGTGTGTGGAGGCAGCCGACTGATTTCTCTCCCCTTCCTCTAAAATCAACTTATAAAAAGCAGGTGAGGTGATGGAAGAGAGCAGAGGTTTGAATGATGGGCTCACCTTCAGCCCCAGACCAGACGCCCAGCCTCCACTGGCAGGTGTGGCCAGACGGCAGGAGGGCTTCCGGCCCGTCAGACACAGCCCTGGGGAGTCACAGTGCGGCTCAGGCCCCCCCCTGGTCCCCCCCTGGTCCCACTTGGTCCCTGCCAGGTCCCCACCTGGTCCCACTTGGTCCCTGCTAGGTCCCCTGCCTGGTCCCCAGCCTGGTCCCCTGCCTGGTCCCGCCTGGTCCCCAACCTGGTCCCCTGCCTGGTCCCGCCTGGTCCCCAACCTGGTCCCCTGCCTGGTCCCGCCTGGTCCCCAACCTGGTCTCCTGCCTGATCCCCACCTGGTCCCCCGCGTGGTCCCCTGCCTGGTCCCCACCTGGTCCCTTGAAGTCCCCAACCCCCAGACTCCGTGTGCAGAGCTCAGCAGGGGAGCGGAGCGAGGACAGACCAGCCAGACGGAGGCTGCCGTGTGCGTGGTGCAGGGCTGTGCACAGACCATGCGCAGAAAGAACTCGCCAGGCGAGGCACTTGCGCACCTGAACGTTTCTGGGACTGGGCCTGACCCAGCACCTGCGCACCCGCCGTGTCATCATGATGCTCACGTACCGCCCACTCGCTGATGGGACAGCGCCCACACGCTGGGCGCCAGGGCCGTGGCAGCAGGGGCTTGCCGGGGCGTGTGGTAACGCGTCACCTGAACCAAGTGCAGCCCGCCCGGCCTCCCTGCATCCGTGAAGGTCCCGGCCCGTGATGCGGGCTCAGCATGCTTCAGGGTGTGGAGTTATGACCACGAGGATCACAGAGAGCTCTGTGAGCCTCTTTCAGCCCCATGTGGCCTGGCTCGTGGGGCCAGAGGAGCACGCGGCCCCAGCTGAGTGAGCCGCTCACCTGCGGGCAGGGAGGAGCTGGGAGACGGACACCATGGCAGTGCCCCCGTGCATCACAAGCGTGTGACAGAACCGCCACAGACCACAGGGCACAGAGCACAGGGGCCAGCCGGAGCACTGGCCGCCCCACGGGTGGGTCTGTGAGCAAGACTGTCACAGCCCAACTGCGACCCCGCCTCCCACCCCAGACCCCACTTCCCGCCCCGGAACCCCACCTCCCATCCCGAAAGAGCTGGGGTCAGAGAACCTCCGCAGACGCCGCTCCCCGAGCCCACTACCCACGGCACATGCACGCGGCCCCGGGAAATCGGAAAGCTTTATTCGACCGCACCGCAGAATCGTGAGCGCGCGGGTGGGCGGGCTGCGGAACCCGGGCAGGTGCAGCAGGCAGTCACCTCCGCAGTGAGAACCCCCCAAGGCTGGCAGACCCTGCGGAAGCAAGAGGCACCACCAGTGATCCCGAATGAACTCCTCCGAGGGCTGTGTCACCCCAGGAAGCTCGGAAACAGCGCACGGCTTGCTCACACACGCTCTCCTCGGTGCCTCGCACTTGCCTAACTGCTGCCTCTGCAGGAGCCCCGAGATGCTGATGGGCGGCCTGGCTGGGGCTGGTGAGCCCCCTCCTCCTGCTCCGCCTGCTGCCTGGGGGCCGAGGCTGTGGGACGAGCCCTGGCGGGGCATCTGCAGAGGTGAAATCCTAGGAGTCAAGTCAACAAACAGTCACCAATGCTTCAAAAGACTTCGGCAACATGATAACTCAAATGTGGACTATTTTTTAGTTTTAAAGACCATGTGTTGATTCAAAACCATGTTCCTGGGCCCAGGGGGCAAGGTCAGTAGTGTGCTCGGGCTGATGGCCCAGAGGCCCTGCTCCAAGGACCCCCAGGGCCTGAGGGTGGCGCCCGTCGCTGGGGCTGTCTCTCAGCAGACCCCACTGACTGTCTTCACATGACAAGTCAGGAGCGACAATCGGCAGGGAGGGCCGGGCCCTGGACCTCACAGTCCTGTCACTGGAGCAGGTTGTGGTCAGGCAGTGGGCACAGGTGTGGCTCTGGGTGGGCTGGGGGAAGATGCCAGAGGCCACTGCTGGATGGTGCCAGATGGCCAAGTGTGGACATGACCTTTGGCATTGGAAGCCATGAAGGGGCTTTAGGTGGGTGAGAGGCCTCAACTGCCTGACCCCTGGTGCTCAAAGAGTCTGTACAGCTGTCCACTCACGCTTCCGTGGGCAGCAGAGAAGGGCCAGGTCTATGATGACCGGCATGGGCCAGTGGATGACAGTCTGTTCAGGGTTGGCAAAGGGCAGCCCACGGGCCAACCCAGCCCTGCTTCTGTAAGCAGAGTTAGGGGCACAGACATGCCCATGAGTCCTGGCCACCTGGACTCTGAACAGAGTGGTCCGCGGACCCTGCTCTGTCCGAGGTACATGCTGCGGCCACAACAGGGCTCCCCGTTTTACTACCAGGGCTCCCCGTTCTACTGACAGGGCAGTGGCCTGAGTTATAGTTTAGCTTCAAGAAATCGTAACATAAAGAGTCTACACAACACAATCTCGGGACACGTAAAATGTGGTTAAAAAGCAACACACTAAGACTCACGCCAGCGAGTCAGATTATGAGAAGTTCGTTTCTCACACTTTCCACTTGAAACACTTTTTTTTTTTTAATCCTCACCCAAAGACATTTTTCCATTTTTGTTCAGATAGAGTGGAAGGGAGAGAGAGGGAGAGAGAGAGAGAGAGAGAGAGAGAGAGAGAGAGAGAGAGAGAGAGAGAGAGAGAAATATCGACGTGAAAGGGACACATCAACTGGCTGCCTCCCACACAACCCAACCAGGGCCGGGGACAAACTGCAACTGAGGTCTGTGCCCTTAGTGGAAACCAAACCCAGGTCTCTCTGGACTGCAGGCCGACGCTCTAACCACTGAGCCAAACTGGCCAGGGCCACTTTAAACATTTTAAAATATATATTTCTATTGATTTTTTCAGAGGAAGGGGGAGAGAGAGAGAGAACATGGATCGGCCGCCTCCTGCACGCCCCCCTCTGGAGATTAAGCCCGAAACCCAGGCATGTGTCTGACCGGGAATTGAACCAGGACCTCAGTCCAGGGCACGATGCTCAGTCCACTGAGCCACACCGGCCAGGTCACTGCAAACATCTTTAAGGAGCTGGGACCCACCTGGGAGCCTGCGACAGGCTGGTGTGACCTGGCGTCGGGCGGAACTGCTGGGGGCCAAGGCTGGAGACGCTGCCTGCAGGGCGGGCGAGGGACAGGGCTGCTGGAGGGACACCTGCAGGGCGGGCGAGGGACAGGGCTGCTGCAGGAGGGACACCTGCAGGGCGGGCGAGGGACAGGGCTGCTGCAGGAGGGACACCTGCAGGGCGGGCGAGGGACAGGGCTGCTGCAGGAGGGACACCTGCAGGGCGGGCGAGGGACAGGGCTGCTGCAGGAGGGACACCTGCAGGGCGGGCGAGGGACAGGGCTGCTGCAGGAGGGACACCTGCAGGGCGGGCGAGGGACAGGGCTGCTGCAGGAGGGACACCTGCAGGGCGGGCGAGGGACAGGGCTGCTGCAGGAGGGACACCTGCAGGGTGGGCGAGGGACAGGGCTGCTGCAGGAGGAAGCCTGCAGGGCTGCCTGGGCTCCGCCCACCCAGGTCCCCACCCTGCTAGCCCCTCGCTCTACCCAGCTCAGCAGGACACCCTCCCACAGCAGCAGCATGCCCCTCCCAGCCCTCAGCCAGCACCCCCTGTGCCCTGAGAACGTTTAAACCACCCCAACAACAAGCAGCCCGACACCAAGGCTCCGGCAGCGCTGCTCAGTCCAGCAGTCCCAGCTCCTGCTCCACACGCCCAAGGTGGGTGGGAGGACACTGGGCATTCAGAAGGCACCCAGTCCATGTCCGGAGACGGTCCGCTTCCCTACGCTGAGCCCGGCTCCTGTCGCAGAGTCCGGAAGCTCTCAGCTCCACGGACAGGGGTCAGTGGGGCCGGCACAGGGCTGAGGTGTCCTCTCTGCCCAGCCTGCATTTCTGGGCTCACAGAGAACCCCTTTGGGAGGCCAAGGCCACTGCAGGCCTAGCGACACCAGAGGGAAACGCGGGAAGACTGCGCCCCCCCCAACAGCCCTGTGTCCACGTGCTCCCAGACGGGGGCAGAGCCGGAGGGGAGGGAGGGAGGGCGGGCTGCCAGGGCTGCCTCTGTCCTGTCCTAGCTGCCGAGCCTGCATCAGAGAGGGCGAGCGCCTTTCCTGAGGCTGCACAGCACCAGGTGGCTCTAGGCCGCCGTGACCTGCAGCCCCACAGCTGAGACCCAGTGCCGGCCGCCGTCTCAGCAGGCTGTCGGTCCTTCTTCAATTCCTGTATTTTCAGATGACTGGACACCTCGGGGCCTCGCCCATCCTGGACACATGCCCCTCGCCAGGCAGGCTGTCACAGGAGCCAGCGGTGCCCTGAGGACCTGCCCACGACCACGCTCTGAGCCACCTCTTTTGTCCTGTGTCACTCTGCCCTAATGCCCGAGGCTGGGGGACCCCGAGGGCAGCCCCTGCACCCCGACACCACTCGCACCATGCAAACCAGCCAGGACCAAATCTGGTCAGCCGGCCCTTCAGAAGCCCGACTCCGTGCTGGCCTCACGGGCTGCTGCCCACTTCCAGGCGGCCGTCTCCCGACCTCTCCCAGCCGGACTGAACAGGCTCCAGGGCATCTCTCCCCCAGGCAGAGCCGCACGTGCTCAGCACCACAGGGTCCGGGAGCAGCGTCTTATTCACGCTTCACAGTACTTTGTGGACAAGTGTGGTCAGTGGAGATGAGGAATCTGAGGTCCCAACAGGCCGACACTCTCAGGGTCGGAGGGCAGCACTCGGAGGGCCGGGTGGCCCAGGGCTCTATGGCCGCCCTGGGGACGCCAGGCTCTCTATCAGGGACTCTTGAGGTTGGGACTGAGCCATGGGGCACGAGGGTCCGCTGGTGGGCGGTGAGGAGGCGGAAAGCCTCCCAGAACCTCTGGGGCTCAGCGCTGGATGAAGGGGGATGTACTTGGTGCCTCAGCCCAACAGACAGAGGCCAAAGTGACGCCCCCAACCACAGGACCCCCGAGCCTCAGCCTGCGATTCCTGCTCAGGAAAGCTATTTGCATTTGAGAACGATTTCCCTCTGGAACATTTAGGTTGAAAACGCGTGCCCTCTGAGAAGGCAGTCCCATCCTCTGGAATGTGGGTGCGTCTCCCTGACACCGGCACACAGGCTCCGAGCACCTGGGTGACTGCCCAGAGGTGGGGCGCCCAGAGCCGGTGCTCAGTGGGGAAGGTCACGGCTGAAGGCTGACCCGCGGGTACGTCCTGACGGATGGGACTCGAGTTCCTGCCGAGGTCTGGTCACAGGGCCTGACTCACCCATGCGTCCGTCCCGAGGAGGGCTGATCAGGGAGATCCTGGTTGGGCCAGCTGCCAGCTCAGGCTGCGGAGGGAAGAAACCAGCAGGCAACACTGCCAGTGCCGTCGGAAGCGTGACAGCCTCCCTCCCAGTGAGGACACAGCCCGTCAGGCTGACAGGCCCGTCCACCCTGGTCTGCCTGGAACGTGCCCCATGAGACGGTGTCCCCACTGGCCCGTGCCCACGGCAGAGTGCAGAGGGACTCACTAGGTGCCTCAGAACAGAGAAAAAGCAAACAAGTTTTTGGATTGACATTAGACATTTTTAAGTCCTGAGTAAATTCTTTTATTTTTTGTTTATCTTCACCTGAGGATACTTTTCCATTGATTTTTAGAGTGGAAGGGAGGGAGGGAGAGAGAGAGAAACATCGATGCGAGAGAGAGACATCGATTGGCTGCCTCCTACACCATCCCCACCAGGGCTGGGGATCAAACCCGCAACTGAGGTACATGCCCTTGACCGGGAATCAAACCCAAGACCCTTTGGTCTGCTGGCCGATGTGCTAACTGCTGCGCCAAACTGGCCAGGGCTAAATCCTGTTTTTGTTTTTTTAATTTATTTTTTATTTGTTTATCCTCACCCGAGGACAATTTTTTCGTATTTTGTTCAGATAGAGTGGGAGGGAGAGAGAGAGAGGGAAACATCGATGTGAAAGGGACACATCGAGTGGCTGCCTCCCTCACGACCCAACCAGGGCCGGGGACAAACTGCAACCGAGGTACATGCCCTTAGCGGGAACCGAACCCGGGTCTCTCTGGACCGCAGGCCGATGTTCTAACCGCTGAGCCAAACCGGCCAGGGCTAAATCCTCAGTTTTGATACAAGAATGTCACCTAGAGGTCCAGGTGTTGATGACAGGCGGTGTGGGGCCGGCTCTCAGCCGAGCACATGCTGGTGTCCCAGGCCCTCCCACCCCGGGATGGAAGCACGGAGCGATGGAGGCCCCTCTGCTCCTGCAGCCTGTCTGCTAACCGCACGTGGGCCCTGTGGGCCGAGGACACACAGTGCCACCCGGCAGAGCCAGGTGCCACTTCTGGCCGCCACCCCTTCATTTCCACGGCCCGTCCTGCCTCCTTCCCATGCCCTGCACGTGCCCAGCCCTGCCATCTGCCACTCAGCCACCCCCACCTCCACCGTGGCCCTGCCAGGATCTCGGGGGCCCTCCTCCCAGCTCCTGTGCCCGGCACATCCGCCCCAAGGCTCCTGAGCTCCACCAGCTCCATGGTGGTCTCACTACAGGGTGCCCTCTGCGAACACCTCACCCAGGTCCTGCCTCTAGCCCCCACCTGGAGGACTGAGCTGTCTTCCCTTCCCTGGGCTCCCCTCTGTGGCCGAGTGTGCCCTGAGGGGTCCCCTCCCGACACTCCCTGCACACCAGGAAACACGCACCACGCTACAACAGGTACTCACCCTTCTCGTGGGGGAGGGTGTGAGGTCAACCTCCATGGGCTCCACTCTGCAAACCAACAGCGGACACACTTACTGGGCCTGAGACTCACAGCACCTGTGCGCCTGACCTGGCTCGTCCTCCCCGCACTCGCGCACTGTGCTCAGGGCCTGGGCCTGCACTGCCACCTCCCTCTCATGCTCTTTATTGGCTGCTGCTGTCTGTCAAACCAAACACAACCCCACACACCTCGGAGGGAGGGCCGTGCTCGTCCAAGTCCTGCCAGCCCTGCTGGAGCAGCAAGACCTCATCTGCCTCCGTTAGCACTTGCCGCCTGGCCCACCCACCGCACAGGGTGTGCTCAACAAGCCGCCTCTGTTCACTGCCCAAAGGGTGACAGGGAAAGAGCATCTGGGCTTCCCACAGGGGAAAGGCAGGGGGAGGCAGGGAGGGAGGGAATCAACCCCTGAATTACTTCCCACCCAGCAGCCAGCAGGACACAAGGACCAGTGGGTGGGTCTGGGAGGCCACCAGGTCTTCCTGTTGCCTGTGGACCCAACTTCCAGGATTTCAAGAAAAGAGCAGGTGGAGGAGGAGCCTCTTCAGGGACCAGCAGCCAAGGGTGGGCAGGGTCCCCAATGGGGCACAGCACCACCTCTCATCCTGTCCCTGGGCCAGGCTTGTTTCTGAGCCACCCTGGCCAGAGGAGAGAGGCCAACCCAGGTCACATGACCACTCCCAAACCCGTCACTAGGCCACAGGGGCAGAGCTCTAACTGGCCTGCCTGACCACACCCGCTTGGTAAGTGAGAGCTTGAGGGGGGTCCTAGGGGCCCGTGCTGTCACTGGGCATCAGAATTTGGGGACCTGGAGGAGTGAAGGGACAGCAGGGAAATGGGGAGGTCAAAGGACCTGTGCAAGTCATGCACGTGGCCCCACAATCCCACGCGCTCCCAGCCCTGCAACCACACACCTCTCCGAGGCGGAGGGCCCAGGGGGCGGGAGCAGCTGTCCGCTGGGCGCTGCTGGAGGAGCTGGGACAGAAACCAGAGTGAGAGCATGCTCATGCCCTCGGCACCGTCCCCAGGCTGGTCCCCTCGCTGGCTCGATCTCACTTACTTGAAACTGTATTGTTCATTGTGCTGAAAGCTGTGTGTTGGGACAATCTCATACTAAACAAATGAAAAAAGGTATTAATTAAACCATAGACCTTACTCCAATCATCCACTCCAACTGGATGGGCAGGACTGAGGCAGCCCCGTGCCCCACCAGCCTCGGCCCCTCGGTCCGTCCCCAGCCGCAGCTGCCCACCCACACACTCACTTCCAGCCTGAACTCCCAGGACGAGCACCTGGCTCAGGGGACCCGAGGGACTGACTGACCACAGTGTCAGTGCAGGGGCTTAGCTCCTATGAGCACACTCCCAGCTTCCAAATGACTGTCAACTGGGTGTGTGGTTGCCTGGCTGATGTGGCTCAATGGTTGAGCATCGACCCTACACCAGGAGGTCGCCAGTTCAATTCCTGGTCAGGGCACATGCCCAGGTTGTGGGCCCGATCCCCAGTGGGGAGTATGCAAGAGGCGGCCAACCAGTGTTCTCTCTCATCGATGTTTCTCTCTCTCCCCCTCTCCTTTCCTCTCTCCAAAATCAATAAAGGGGGGGGGGAAGTGTGTGTGGGAGGGTGTCCCCCAGAGACAACAGGGAACAGAGAGCCAGCACCACGGACACCTGCACCGCAGGACTCGCACTTGGGCCGCAGAGAGCAGGGGCCACCCCTGCAGGAAAATGCAGGCCTCACCAGCTGTGCACAGCCCGTGTCACCGGGAGACCCTGCACAATCACCACCCAGCTAGAAATGCCCCACCTCGAGGGAGAGCCCAGGAGCACAGACAGGCTTGCACTCCCACGGATTTCAAGTGCAGGAAACAGACGCCCCGTGAGACCCCAAAGCAGCTCACGGCACCAATGCCCAGCCTGCTCCAGTGCTGAGCAGAGCGGCGAAGTAAAGCTTGATGGGGAGGTGAGAGCAGAGCCGCGAGGCGGCTGGAGCCTGGAGGACACCCGCAGGTGCCACAGAGACCTGGCCAGCCCACAGGTACCAGGCATAGACAAAGCTGCCGGGACCTGAAGAGGGCAACAGCTGGAAAGGCAACGGCTGGGGCCTCCCAGAATTATGCGTCAGATGGCAGAGGAGTAAGCTGCAGGCCTGCAGGGTGGTGTCTGCCACTCCCTCTGCGACTCTGCCCGGACGCCGCGGGTGCTGCTGCTCACGGTCCTCTGGAAACTCTGCAGCCATGTCCAGCTTGAGGGCTGAGCCTGGGTGCACCTTCAGAAGGCAGCCCACGGAGATGGCGCTGGTGGGCAGAGGCACAGAGGAGACCAGCGTCCCTGCATGCCCAGCTCCTCCTGCCGCCTGCCCACATGCACCGGGCAACCCGCACACACAGCCAGCTGGACAGTAGCCCCAGAGGACATTGACTTTTAATTGAATGCTGTCCACCACATCGGGACTTGTAAGTATCCAGCATTAAAAACACTCAAAAGACTTCCAGTCAAGATGACGGGAAGGTAAACGCGGTATCCATCCTCCCACAACCACATCAAAGTTACAACTAAACTATAGAACAACCATCATTCAAAGCTGCCTGAAACCAAGCTGAATGGAAGTCCTACAACTACGGAATTAAGGCAGCAGCCACATCGAGACTGGTAGGAGGGGCGGAGGCGGACAGGCTGGTCCCATAGCCACGTGTGGCGGATAAAAATCAGGAGGACACCTCGGCTGGGAAGATCCTCCCTGAGGACTGAGGCGTCCCCGTCCCACACCAGGCTCCCCGCTCAGGGTTCCAGTGCCAGGAAGAGAAGTCCCCATAACTTCTGGCTGGAAAAACCAGCAGGAACTGAGGCTCAGGGAGGCTGAGGCTGCTGCAGCCCCAGGCAGCTCCTCTTAAACGGCCGGCCATGCACGGACTTACTCAAACTCACATCCTCTAGGCTCCAGCGTGAGGGAGGCAACTTGAAAGGCACCAGAGACATACAGGGAAGAACTGAGTTGTTTGCATTGGAGCGAGGGCTGGAGAGGGGGCTTTCTCCTGGACAGACATGTTATCAGAGGCCTTTGTTCCTTTGGTGAGCCCTGGCCTGGGGCAGTAGACAGCCGCCATATCTGGGGCTCCAGCAACCTGGCTCACACTGTTTGCCCTGCCCTGGTGATTTCCTGAGACCCTGCCCCATCCAACTTACTTTCCTTTTTTTAAAAATCCTTACCGGAGGATATTTTTGCATTTATCTTCAGATAGAGCGGGAGGGAGAGAGGGGGGAAGAGAGAGAAACATCGATGTAAGAGAGACACATCGAGTGGTTGGCCACCCACAAGACCCCAACTGAGGCTGGGGACAAACTGCTACCAAGTTACATGACCTTAGCAGGAACCAAACCAGGGACTCTCTGGTCCGCAAGCCAATGCTCTAACTGCTGAGCCAAACCGGCCAGGGCCCCACCCAACTTTCAGGCCCACCCAACTTTCAGGCCCACCCAAGCTGTTGCCAGTTGCTTAACCATGGGATTGGTCTGTCTTAGATCCTGCTTCAGATTTTCCCAAATTCTTTCAAACAAGCAGCATCTGGTCTCAGCTAGCCCCATACCTTTCGTTAAGTAATACATAGAAACAAACACAGGGAGGCAGCCAAAATGAGGAGACAAAGAAACAGGTCCCAAATGAATGAACAGAACGAAACTCTAGGAAAAGAACTAAGTGAAATGGAGATAAGCAACCTAACAGATGCTGAGTTCAAAACACTGCTTATAAGGATGCTCAATGAACTTAGTGAGAACCTCAGCGAACTTAGTGAGGGCCTCAAGAGCATAAAAAAGGACCAGTCAGAAATGATGGATGCACAGTCAGAAATGAAGGAGGCACTAACTGAAATAAAGATTAATTTACACAGATTAATAGTAGAGTAGGTAAAGCCAAGAAACAAACCATCGATCTGAAATCTAAGGAAGAAAAAAACACCCAATCAGAACAGCAAAAAGAAAAAAGAATCCAAAAAAACTTCAAGTGTGTCAACATTCGCATCTTGGGGGTGCCAGAAGGAGAAGAGAGAGAACAAGAAATCGAAAACCTATTTGCAACAATAATGGCAGAAAACTTCCCTAACTTGGTGAAGGAAACAGACATACAAGTCCAGGAAGCACAGAGAGTTCCAAACAAGATGAACCCCAAGAGGCCCACACCAAGACACATCATCATCAAAATGCAAAGGTTTCAAGACAAAGAGAGAATCTTAAAAGCAGCAAGAGAAAAGCAGTTAGTTACCTACAAGGGAGTTCCCATAAGACTATCAGCTGATTTCTCAAAAAAACTTTGCAGGACAGAAGGGAGTTGCAAGAAATATTCAGAGTGATGAAAAGCAAGAAGAACCTACAACCAAGATTACTCTATCCTGCAAAGCTGTCATTTAGAATCAATGGCCATATAGTTTCCCGGACAAGGAAAAGCTAAAGGAGTTCATCACCACCAAACCGTTATTATATGAAATGTTGAAGGGTCTTCTTGAAGAAAAAGATAAAATATATGAACAAACAAAATGGTAATGAATACATATGTATGGACAATGGAATCTACAAACAAAATGAACAGGCAGAACAGAAACAGTCTCATAGATACAGAGAACATTTTGTCGGTTGCCAGATGGGAGGGGGGTTGGGGGAATGGGTGAAAAAGGTGAAGGGATTAAGAAGAACAAATTGGTTGCTAGACTGACAAACCTCGAAGGGAAGGGGGGTTGAGAGTGGGAAGAAATAAACCAAAGAATTTATATGCACATATGCATAACCAATGGACACAGACAACAGTGTGGGGAAAGGCAGGAGGGGGACAGGAGTGGGGAGGAGAGGGTCAATGGGGGAAAAATAAGGAACATCTGTAATATATTCAACAATAAAGATAAGTTTTAAAATAAAACAAAAAAACACTCCACAGGAGACCACGTCCCACGGTACCATCAACTGACCAGAAAGAGCGATGTCCAGGCCAGGCCTGCCTCACCTTCTGGAACCGCTGCCACTCCTGGGGAGGAAAGGCCGTCAGGCTGCGGCGGCCCTCCACCTTCAGGGCTGGCACTCTCCAGGCATGGGGTGCTGGCTCTGCTCCCCAGCCTCTCCCACACCCTGGGAACTGCAGGGACACCCACAGAAAACCGTGCACACTCTTCACTTTTCCTCTTTGTGTTTCCTACATGACTCCCCATACCTGGGCTGGCAGCTCCGGAAGCAGAGTGCTGCCTTGTGCCTCAGTGAGGACCGAGGTCCCGGAGGGCCGGACCTACCTCTGCAGCTGCTCCACCCGCAGCGCGGACTTCCTGAGGGCCTCTTCCAGCCTGGAGATCTGGACACAATGCAGACTCCAGTTACAGCCTGGCTGTCCAAGTGACAGTGCGAAGACAGCACGGCCTCCACATTCTCACACCCGCGTCAGACGTGAGCCACACGGGAGCGGCTGAGGGGCAGGGGCCAGGGCAGGTGAGGCTGTGCTGGGTGTGGAAGACTGACAGCCCTGTGCGCACTACCCACAGGACCAGCCTGGGCAGTGGCGCGTACTCCAGTTGACCTCTGTGCAAACCTGCTGCAGGACCGGCCTAGGTGTGTAGAGGGAGCTGGCAGGAGAACCATCCCCCAGCCGGCCAGGCCTAAGGGGGTGTGTCACCCTCAAATCTGCATGTTACGCAGGTGGCAGGGCCATGGGACCGGCACCCGGTGGCTTCCACACGTGAGGATGTGGCCGTAGGATCTGTGACTTCAAAGCCAGGCCCCTTAACCTCCTTACTCCTTAAACTTTAAAGGTTATTTTTTTTAAAAAAAACTTTTATTAAAAACAAAAGCAGTGGACCCTGGCCGCTTTGGCTCAGCAGTTAGAGTGTCAGCCCACGAACCGAAAGGTCTTAGGGGTTTGATTTCTGGCCCCAGTAGGGGTGTGAGCAGGAAGCAACCAATCGATGTCTCTCTCACATCAATGTTTCTCTCTCTCTTTTCTTCCTCTCACTCTAAAAAAGCAATGGAGGCCTTGGCCAGTGTGCTCAATGGTTAGAGCATCGGCCCACAGACCAACAAGTTGCAGGTTCGATTCTGGCCAAGGGCATGTACCTCAGTTGCAGTTGATCCTCGGCCCTGGTCTGGGTTGTGCGGGAGGCAGCCAGTTGATGTGTCTCACATCCATGTTTGGCTCTCTTTCTCTCTGTCTCTCCCTCTCCCTCCCACTCTATCTGAAGATAAATGGGGAAATAGCCTTGTATGAGAATTTAAAAAATAATAAAATAAAAAATGAAAAGGCAATGAAAAAAGTATCTTCAGATGAGGATTAACAAGCAAAACAAAAGAAACCAACAAGCCACAGTGCTTTGATTGCACAGAGAAGCATCCAGCTGGGCTGAGGCCTGACAGCACTCGCCAGGCGCGGGGCAGCCCTTGGGGTGTGTCCTGTGGGCATGACATGTCCTGCGGGTTGTGGCCCGAGCATGTGAAGTTGACCTTGCCCCTCTGCCCTCTCTCCTGCCTCCTCTCTCTGTGTCCATAGTCTACTGTCCCTGCAGGAGGCGGATCCCAGACAGCTGAAGCTGCCGCGAATGAGTTTCCCCTGAGGCTTCGCCTTCCTTCATTTAGGTTAGAAGTCAAAAAGGAGGATGTTTGTTGGGCCAAAGAGCAGGCTTTCGAGCTTCCTGTGTAAAGATCAGCCAGAGCTCAGTAAGAGCTGCTGTTTATGAAAATGTGTCCAGTGTGTCTGGGGACACCATGGGTCAGAAGTGGGCTCCCAGGTAAAGGCGGCCCAGTGACCACACTGGCCCTGAGCAGCGACGAGGCGGACAGGAACTATGCGATGGGCTGAAGGTCCGAGGGGCAGATGTGCCCACCGGCCCTCGGCTTTGTCATAAGGGTCATGTGAGGTCGAAAGGTCGCACAACAGGCCACGAAGCGGTGGGATCTACCTTTTCTCTGTAGAAGGCTAACAGTCTCTTCCTGTGTTTTTCTTGAAATTCTGAAATCTGAGGAGACGGCACACGTCGGCTGCTGCCAGTGCCCATGGACGGCCTGCGCCCCAGACCCCCTGCCCGCCTGCTGCCCAGACACGGACACCTGTGTGTGCCCACGGTGCACCCGTGAGTGCTGTGGCGCTCACACAGGCACGCGTCCCGGGAGGGCTCCTTCCTGGGTGCTGCCCACACAGGCAGCCCCAGTGCGCCATCCCTCTGGCAACGGCAGCTGCTTCACGACGGCCTCCTGACCAACGCGCCAACCAGAACACCCTGAAACTGCCTCGTGGACCAGGCCGGGTGGGTGACCAAGTCGGGGTGCCTGGCTGCACCCTGCACTGGCAGGAGCCCGCCGGCACGTGGCCCTGGCGTGGTCTGGACCAGGCTCCTGAGTGCCCGCCCGCCTGCCCGGCTCAGAGGGAGCCCGTTTCACGCTGGGATGTTGTCGGGCAGGGAAACGGAAGGCCCTCGTGGCAAGGAGAACGGCCAGCACCAGCTGAGAGCAGCTGGGGTGCACTAACAGGAGGGGAGGCCGGAGGGGCTGGGCGGACTACAGGCTGCACCGCAACGTCCAGGAGGGCACACGGCTCAGAGCCAGGGAGGGCAGGATTCACAACCTGGAAGGCTGGGGCGGGGGGGTGTGGGGCGGAAAGAGCTGGGGAGTCAGATGCTGCAGCCTGGCGACCCCGGGTGCTGTGTGAACTCAGGTCTAAGGTGCACACAGGACTCGTGAGGAGCGCAGGGCATCCTGACCACGGGGTGCCCGCGCCCGTGCCCGCAGCAGCGGGTTAGGGGCAGGGTAGGAAGCACCCACCACCTCACCTCCAGCCCCTGTGGTGTGCTCTCCAGGGCTCGAGATCACTGACCCTGGGTCCTCATAAAACCAGTTCCCATGACTGACGGGCACATGCATGACCCGGGGAGAAGGCACCACCTGCACACTCACCTGGGAAGTCTCTCTGGAGTAGGTCTTGCACAGACTGTCTATGTCCATGAAGAGCGCCTGGATGCCTGGGTCCGTCTGGAGGAGACAGGAGGCGACGGTCCCCACCTGCTGCGGCTGACACGCTCACAGCACGCATTTGAGGCGAAGGAAGACCCAGAATGAACCTTGGGGACACGAGGGCCCAGGGCTCCTGCCCTGTCTCCAGGAGGCACGTGGGCACCCCTTCTGGCTGCCTGGGGCTGTGGGGTGAGGGCAGTGCCACCGCCTCCAAGGACAGGGCAGCCTGGCAGCTGGGGGAGCCTATCTGTCAGGCAAGGCCCGAGCCTCCAGGGAAGGGCTCACAGGAAGGGTGAAGGAGCCCAAGAGAAAGCCATGCTCCAAGGAGACGCGCCGCAGAGGGAGAGGACCCTGGACAGCCAGCTTATCACAGTCAGGGTGTGTGGGTCCTTCAGGAAGCAAACGGGACTTAAGGAAAATCGGGGTTTAGAAGCCATGTCTATCCACTTACAAACCCCACAGAGCCAGGCCCACCTCTTCCCCTCCCTGCCCCTGGGCCACCCGGCACCCTCCACAGGCCAAGAGCTCAGCCTCCCCAGGGCACAGGCATGGGGGAGCTGCCCTGAGCAGGGACAGACAGGCCGGATAAGGACCAGCAGTCCCAGAGACACAGAACAGCCCTGAGCCCCTCTCCAGCACAGTCTCTGCTCTCAAGCCATTAGCCTGACACTGCATGCGCATGGGCATTTGAGCACATCCACTTGAACTACTTATGCTCCAAAGTAGTTCCACTGAAGTGACAGTAAAGCTAAGTGATGGAAGAAGCTCGAGCAGCAGCACCAGAAAGTGCCCCTGAAGGCAGTGCCCTAGGGGAACTCCCAGAGGACCAGGGGGCTGGGGCAGGCCCTGCGAGACCGCACACCAGGGGAAGCGATCCCAGAATCCACTTCCAGACCCTGGAGGGGAGGCCGAGCAGGGTGCCCGGGTAGCGGGGTCCCTGGACCCGATCCCTGCAGGCACAGGCAGTGTAGACCATGGACAGGGCCAGGGCTGCAGGTACCAGTGAGCTCTGCTCCACACCAGCTTACCTGCCACCCACGCCCACTGCCACGTGGCTCAGCCTGATCCCCATGCGACAGAATCAGAAACAGTGCCTCCCCAAGGGCCCGAGGAGCCCCAGGCCACAGAGAAGGGGAGAGCGCCCGCAACAGAGCACGACTGGCCTGGTGCCCAGGCAGAGATCAAATGTGCATATGGATTATGACACATACACAGATGCACCCAAAACAAGACGATTAGCATTATGTCCAGAATGGAAGCAACTGGGATCCACAGCCTCTGTGAGTAAGTCACTCTACACGTGAAAGACCCCGCGTGGACAGAGACGGGTGTGGCTCCACTCTATGTGGACAGAGACCCCGCGTGGGACTGGGTGTGGAGCAGGCATCAAGAGCCTCTCCAGTAACGTCCACAGACTGTCCAGTCGGAAGCTCAGCAGGGCACCGACAAGAAGCCACGCTGTGTGAAACCAGAGATGAACGGAGTGCTGTTACCCCAGACACAGAGAGCATTCATTTTCAATGAAGAATTCCAACCCCAGTGGAAATATGCATCACAATGAAGACAGATAGAGTCCCTCTGGAGAAGTGTCACCAACAGACCTCACTAAAGGAGGAGACAAAAGGAATCCCCCTGGGGCGGAAAGTGACCCTGGGGGCGACAGGGGGACTGGGAACAGATGAAGAGCAGAGGAGCCGGGGCTGTGGGAACCAATGCTGACTGTCTGAACAGCGATGTCGGTGGGGTTTTTGTCTCTCCAGGGAGAGAACAAGAGACAGAGACACGGTAACAGCGCTGGGCTCAGGGTGGGAAGGAGGTAGGTGGAGTCCAAGCCTCTGAGGCCTTGGAACTGCTGGAAGAATCCGAGTCACACTAGGCTCTGAAAGGCAAGACCGTGCTGGGCCACACACGTGTCCCCAGCTGAGCATTGGTTCTGTTCAGATTACAAAGAAGGTGCTGTTATGCACTCTTCTGCATTGTATTTCAATAAAACTTAGTAAAAATGGTAACATCCCCAAACATTTGAGCTAATCGACACACACCTCACAGGAGTAACAGCAGAAATCAAAGTGAGATGATGGGAACACTCTGCAGCAGGGTGAGCGTGGAGGGAGAGCGATGGCCGTGGGGAGGTGGGGAAGGACGGGTGGGGACGGGTGCTGAGCACCCAGCTCAACAAACTGAACCGAAGACGAGAGAGGACAAATGATAAGAAACACTCAGTGAACAGAGAACCAACATAAAAGATAAATGGAGTAAAAAATTTGTTCTTTAAAAATATTAGTATAAGTCAATAAGCACTTGACAACTGTTTAAGAAAAAAGAAAGAAGGTACCATAACCACAATTAAAATGGAAAATGAACCTCGTCACAGATCTTACCAACACTAAAACCACCAAGGACGGCAAGCATGTTGGTGGCAGTACACTCGAAGTTTTAATTTTATTATTAATTTTTTGGTAATCCTCACCCAAGGATATTTTTCATTGATTTTCAATGGGGCGGGGGAGATATTGATGTGAGAGAGACACATCAATTAGTTGCCTCCCGCACAACCCTGACCAGGGCCGGGGATTGAACCTGCAACCCAGGCATATGCCCTTGACTGGGAATTGAACCCAAGACCCTTCAGTCCAAGGGCCAATGCTCTAACCACTGAGCAAGCTGGCCAGGGCAGGACGTTCAAAGTTGTAGATGAAGTGCACATATTCCTAAGAAAATACAACTTACTTACGTTGACGGGGAAGAATCAGGAACTCTGAATAGTCACATATCTAATCAAGGAGTTAAATTCCTGGTTAAAACTTTCCCACCAAAACCCTTCCTGGTTCAGCTGGCGTCGCCTGTGAATTCTACGTTTTACGAATAACCCCAATCTCCCAGAGGAGAGGGTGAAAAGAACCTCCACCTGCCTTCACGAAGCCCACCCAACCCAAAGAGCAGGGCAGGGAAGAGAGGGGATCCACGGCCAGGTCGCACACGATCCCAAGTGCCAAACATCTGTTCATCTAAACCAGTGGTTCTCAACCTTCCTAATGCTGTGACCCTGTAGTACAGTTCCTTGCGTTGTGGTGACCCCAACCATAAAATTATTTTCGTTGCTACTTCATAACTGTAATTTTGCTACTGTTATGTCTTAGGCGACCCCTGTGAAAGGGTCGTTCAACCCCCAAAGGGGTCGCGACCCACAGGTTGAGAACCGCTGATCTAAATACACACACACACACCAGGCTGACTCACATCAGGTCGGATTTACTCTGGAAACTAGTGTGGGTTTCAAGTTCTAAAAATAAATGCAACTGACTGCATTAACAAAATAAAGTAAAAAAAAAAAAAAATCAAATAATAATCTCAACAGTGACAGAAAAGCCATTTGATAAACTTCAACACCATTCATGATTAAAAAAAAAACTCAGCAAAAAACCTACGGCAGACACACTTCACAGACACACTGCAATGGACCCTGAAAACAGGAGACTCAAGGCCACCGGGGTCCCGCCGTCTGTACTCCACGCTGGAGTGTTCAGGCTGACGGGAGAGAGACGTGCAGAAGGACAGAGACAAACGCTCAGGGACGACAGGACCGTGCAGAGTCTGGAAAACCTGCAGCTAACCCAGTGTAAGTGCCAAGTGAATTCAGGGGACCATGTCTGCACTGGCATTTTTCACGGGAGGCCAATGGGGAGACCAAGTGTAGCTGGGTGCCCAGGAAGAAAGAGGGGAGGACTGAAGACAACCCCCCACTGGGCCAGCCTGCCATTCCAGCCGCGGGTGTCCGCCTGTTTCTCCTACACAGAGGAGCCACCCCCTGTGGAACACCCCACATGCCCCTGCCCCACCACAGCCCAGGGCCTCAGGTGGTCCTCTCCTTTAGGTCCCAATTTGGTCTGCAACCTATGAACTCAGCCCATCCTCATCATGACCAAAGTTTAACAGGGGGAAGGGGAACTGGGTCCGGACAACAGAATCAACCCCCAGTAGTGAGAGGGGAGGTGGGGGATATGGCAGTCATGAGGACCTTGCAGGAGGGTGTCCTGGGGCTCCTTCCTGGGGCCATCTTGATTAGGTTGGCCTCCGCTGTCTGGGAGAACCACCTGCTCCCACTCCATCTCCAGCCCCTGGCTGTCTATTGGGGGCTGTTCCTTGACTGTGACTCCCCACAGTCCCAGGTGAAGTGGGTATGAGAACGTGTGCCCTGATCACCCATGACCTTCTCAGGCGTCACCTCTGGCCACTAGGAGTCCAGAAGCTCCCGGCTCCTCCAGCTATGGGCGCTTCACCCCTTGCCACAGCCCCCTTCTGTCTGCAGAGCGTCAGCCAGGCCTGGTCTAGGTCCACCCTGTCTGCACAGCACCTTCACCACAGGCTTCTCCCAGGTCCCCCACGGGCTCCCATCACCATTGCTCTGTCCCTTGCCACCCACCACCTGACTGATCATTGGTGTGATACTTTGTAACGACACACAAGTCACAAATACATGCGTGTCACATGGTGGCTGAGCTGTGGAGCAAAAAGAGCAGGTATAGGCAGAGTAGGCAGTGAAGGGCACTTCCCACGCAGGACCCAGGAAATCAGCTCAGCCTGTCACAAGGCCCTTTGTTTTAATTACAGCAAACCACTCAGAAAGAAGCCGCCAGGGGCATTGCATTTAGCAAGGATAGATGTTGATTTGTGAAACTCACCTCGTGTATGGGCACACACATGAAAATGCACACTCTGTGCCCTGGCACCAACAGTCGAAGAAGCCACTGCCACACAGAAACAGGGCAGAGATTAGGGCCAGGCCCCAGGAGCAGTGGCAGGTCTGAGTTGCTGGCCTGGGGACCAGGTATGCACCAGAGGCCAGGCCACAGAGGTCTGGGCAGGAAGGGCTTGAGTTTTACTCCTGGAAAGCTAGGTCCCATGACCCATGTTTAAGCGGGGTGTCTGGGCATCCCTGCTTTCCCATTTCTAGAAATTTATGCTGTAGAAATATTCTTACGAGGACACAGAGATACTGGTAAAAAGTGTTGACTGTAAAATTGTTTAAAATGATGAAAAACGGAAAATGAAACACACACACACACACACACACACACACACACACATAAAGGTTTACCAGTAGGAAGTAGTAAAAAGCTATGCAGCCCTGGCCGCTAGTGCTCAGTGGTTAGAATGTCAGCCCTTGCACCAAAGGGTCTTGTATTTGATCCTGTCAAGGGCACATACCTGGGTTGCATTTTTGATCCCAGCCCCAGTTGGGGTGCATGTGAGAGGCAACCAACTAACTGATGTGTCTCCCTCACGTCCATGTTTCTCTCTCTCTCTCTCTTCCTTCCACTCTCTCTAAAAATCAATGGAAAGAATATCCCTGGATGAGGATTAACAACAACAAAGGCTATGCAGTCACCTTTAAAGAGAATAATTATTTGTAACTAAATTTAAACCAAACAAGTTAAACTGATGTATTTTACACAGAGAACAAAAGGCATTGTTTTACACCTAACACAACAGTAATTGATTCTAAACCTACTTTTCCTCCAAACCTCTTAACTAGATGACCCTCCTGAAAAACTGAACTCAATCACCTCCTTAAGGAGCTTGTACTGCACTGAAGAAATCTATTCAACACATTTTCATTCCCAGGAACACAGCACAGCAAGCTCACAAATAGGCCAATCTACAGTTAAGAAGGGTGTATGAGCACACACATGAAAATCAAATCCTAAGTGTACTTTGGTTACTCAGAAATCCTGCAAGAGCTCCTAGTTAACCTAACAAAACGAGTGGCAATTTCAGACACCACAAATGACTCTCAAATTGAATCTCAAATTTAAAAGGAAACGCTGTGATCGATATTCAGATACCACAGGTTTCAACTTACATGTTTTGAAAGCAAAACTGTATGACAAGGAACTTTACAAATCAAGCATTCATCCTTTTTACCTATAAAAGAAAAACAGATGTTATATTATCTTTAGTGTGCTTTTAAATATGCATACCTACAGACTTCAAATTATAACACTTCTTCAAAAAAGAGGATTATAGGACATTTTTTCCCCTTCAAACAGTGGGTGAGACCCTGGGTGTGGATATAGCTGAAAAGATTTACAGTGTAACAATCCTTGTGTTCCTGTTTTCCACACACGCCCCCAAACAGTGCCCATAAAGATCTGTGTCCTTACACTTATCTATTGCAGATAGAGTTTATACGAATATCTTAATTTGAAAACAGGCCCTCCCACCCCACCCAACAGGTATAATGAGTTTTGTTCTGCGCCCTCGGCCTCACTTCTCCAACACCTGGGACAGCTCAGGCACAGCCTCACTGGGCACAGGTGTGTGAGCATGTACTGAGCTCCTGCTGGCTCTTGTGTCTGCTACTGCCCTGCCCTTCTCGTCTTTGCCCCAAATCCTGTGACCCGAGCACCTATCGTACCACGTGCTGTCTGAATTCCAGTTCCGCCCGCGTTTCCTCATCTGCATAGGGGGTCAGAGCAGGTGTTCGCAGGGCACAAGGGCTCCTGGGGTGCGGCCGGCCTGGGGGCCCGGCCGCACCTGGGCCAGCTCGCTCACCCAGCAGCCACCCCTCCTCCCCCAGCCCGGGCAGCACCACCGGCACAGGCCCGTGTCGTCGTCCCCTGTCCCGGTCCCCATGGAGATCCAAGCCAGCCATCGCCCAGCTGAGAGGTGGATCTGCAGCCCTGCGGGGAACCCCCACTCCCCCCCGCGTGTCCCCCCACTCCCTCCAAGGGGTTTGCACAGACTGAGAAGAGAGGGGCCCTCTGTGGCTGGCCTCAGCGTCCCCGCCCGCCTGTCCCCACCGCGAAGCCCAGCTCACCGCCCCTTGCTGTCGGCCCGGCCGCGTCCCCCGTCCCGGCTGCACACCCCCAGGTCCCGGCCCCGCGTCCCCCCGTCCCACAGCCCCCCCGCCCCACGCCGCGCCGCCCGCCCACCTCTGCTCAGGCAGCCTGCGCAGTACACGTGGCCGCAGCTGGTGAGGCTGAAGCGCGCGGCCTGGCTGGGCGGACGGAAGCAGCGATTACAGAACACCCAGCTGGCCATGCCGCGCCCCCGCGCCCCGCGCCGCCCACGCGCCGCCCACGTGACGCCCACGTGAGGCCACGACGGGGGCTCCCGGGAGCCTGCGCCTGCGCACATGGAAGCACGCGCCCTGCGCCTGCGCACCAGAGCCTGGGCCGCTCCCGCCAAAACCCTGTCTGGACGGTGCTCGGCTCGAGGGCGCGCGTGAGTTCGCCGGCTCCCCGCTGCTCTGGCTGCGCGTCCGAGGGAGGAACACGTCCGAGGGAGGAACGAGGACGACGGGAATCCTGCGCCCGGCACTGCAGCCCCAGCGACTCTCCTGTGGGGCGGGTGTCGCAGCCCAGGCCCCGCGAAGGCGCCGTCGGGACACTGCCTCAGGGTCAGGTGAGGCCGCCGTGCAGGGCCGGGTCCGCGGGGCCTGGGGTGGCCAGGTGTCCCCCCTCTGTGGTCCTTCCATAACGGGGTGCAGGGGGAGGGCCAGGCGGACCAGGCCGGCACACGGGGTGCCCAGAGGGACCGGACGGGCGAGGGGGAGCTGGGGGATGAGGGCTGGAGGACTGGAGCTGCGGACGGGGAGCTGGGGGTCGGGCATGAGGATGGGGGGCTGGGGATGGGGCTTGGGGTCGTGACCTGGACCGAGGACCAGGTGGGCCGGGCGCCGCCACCTCTAACGCGCAGGTGCAAGGGCCTGAGTGGGGCGCCGGGGCGTCTGCCTGTGTTCCGGGGTGCGGGAGTTGTCTGGCACTGGGGCGCAGAGAGGCGGGGAAGCCCTGCCGCCCGGCCCTCCGCAAGGCCTGCTGGGCTGCGGGGAACACCTGCTTGGGCGGGGGCTCTGTGCGGGGAAGTTGTGCTGTCCCCAGGAAATCGGGAGAAGCCCGGTCCTGCTATGGCGGTGACTTGTGGGACGTGGCTGTGATTCCTGGGACTTGGCTGTGAATCCTGGGACGTGGCTGTGACCCCAGATGATGCTGTGACCCCTGGGACGTGGCTGTGACCACAGATGATGCTGTGACCCCTGGGACGTGGCTGTGACCACAGATGATGCTGTGACCCCCCGGGACATGGCTGTGACCCCAGATGTGGCTGTGACTACTGGGACGTGGTTGTGACCCCTGGGACGTGGCTGTGACCCCGGGGACGTGGCTGTGACCACAGATGATGCTGTGACCCCCGGGACATGGCTGTGACACCAGATGTGGCTGTGACTACTGGGACGTGGTTGTGACCGCTGGGATGTGGCTGTGACCCCGGGGATGTGGCTGTGACCCCAGATGATGCTGTGACCCCTGGGACGTGGCTGTGACCACAGATGATGCTGTGACCCCTGGGACGTGGCTGTGACCCGAGATGTGGCTGTGACGCCGGGGACGTGGCTGTGACCCCAGATGTGGCTGTGACCCCGGGGACGTGGCTGTGACCCCCGGGACATGGCTGTGACCCCAGATGTGGCTGTGACTACTGGGACGTGGTTGTGACCCCCGGGACGTGGCTGTGACCCCCGGGACGTGGCTGTGACCCCAGATGTGGCTGTGACTACTGGGACGTGGTTGTGACCGCTGGGATGTGGCTGTGACCCGAGACGTGCCTGCTCCAAGCTGAGGTGTGCGTTCCGTGAAAACGACACCCGCATTCACAAAACCTCACATGGAAAAGGAGTGCAGTAACAATTGGTGCTGGTTGTATGTTAGAGTGGTGACTGTTTGATGTAGTGAGTTAAATGTGTCACTAGGGTTGATTTTGCCCCTTCTTAAAATCTTTATGTGGCAGCCAGAAAATCTGAATTTTGCTTACGTGGCTGAGACTTTATTGCTGTGGGAATGTGCTCACTCATGCCAAGTTTGAAATAAACTGATGAGGCACTTACCTATCAAACTCGGGCTACATTGTCAAAGCAACCTTTTATCAGTGTTAAAATTCTATAACTTGAACTTCAACCACTGATGTCTGAAATTGGAAAAATACAGTAATCTTCTCAACATTATCGACAGGTTCTTGGAAACTGTGGCTAAGCAAAACAACAGATAACAAAACTCATTTCACCTGAGGCCAATTGACGTAACAAGAGTTAAGTTCCCACAGCATATTCCTGGCAACAAGAATATCACCAAACTTCTAAATAAAGACCCCAAATGCTTTTCATGTTACTCACTGAAATAAGTAAGCTATACATACATTTAAGAAAGATTAATAAAAACAAGTAAGATCGTCATTTTCCAACCTGCTTATTGTAATTCAGGGTCACAGGTGGCCAGTCCATCCGATAACTGAGGCAAAAGGCAGGACCCCATCCCAGACAGGACACCTTTCCATCATAGAGCCGGTCACACTCACGCCCACACTCAGACTGGGACAGTGTGGACCCGCCATTCACCTCACATGTACATCTGTATGCATCGTTGGGATAAGGGAGGAAACCCCCACACACACATGGGGGAACGGGTAAATCCCAAAGATGGTGGTCCCAGCTAGGAAATATCTTTTTTTTTCTTCATCAAAAGTGATAAAATGACGTTGAACAAAATGATGTTATTTGAAGACCTCCCGTAATACACACTTATGAATGTACTTTGATTTATTAATTCAAACATTATGCAAGTTAGCAGGTAGTTATTTGTTGTCATTAACATTTTAGACAAGCTTCTTAGCTATAAAGAAGTCTTTAAGGTACTTCATTTGTAAAATTCCAACTGAGATAAAGATTAATGTTTGTGCAAAAGCCCACCATAAAACATTGCTATTTGTGTCTTCACTGGTCATTCGAAAGTTTTCTTCACGGTCCTGTACAGAAGAGAAATAGGCAGGTTTAGCTTTAAAGTACGAACTGCATGCATTTGAGGGGAAGGTGCCCTATGCACTCAAGGTGTTTGGTGTTTCCCAGTTAGCATCTTATACCAAAGTGTCACCTCTGATTTTCTAAGCCAGGTGTGATGTTCGCAAAGATGAGGAGTGAGAATCAACCTCGTAGGACATTTTTGTATCTTGGTGTAAAATATCAGGTATTTGGTCTATTACTTTGCACATCTATCACTGTTAAGCAAAGTGAACATTACCCAGGAGTGATAGATTTTCGTGGCTTGAATCCTTACTTTACCTTAAGCTGGGCACTGTGTCAGGCACACCTGCCTCATTTTATTTCAGATAAGGAAACCGAGGCCTAGACATGACACAAGGTTAGTGAGTGGTAGAGCATGTTTGAGCCCACCTCTGACCAGAGTCCACTGAATGCAGTGACCCGGAAAATGCATGACATCACAGGAACAAAATTGTGACTTAGAAAGTGGGCATACTGAGCCCCTTCAAATACATGGGTTGTGTTTGGAAGCACTTATTTATTCATTCTATAAGCTCTCCCTCCACAGATGAGTGGGCAGTGGCCTGCAGTCCCACAGACAGAGTGCGGGGTTGGCCTTACCCCTCACCCCGAGTGCCCACACAGTCTGGCTCAGAGAGACCAGGGAACAGGCAGTTTATTCTTTCCTTGGTTCAGGGACTTTGCAGAATTACGTTCCTGGCAGGAAGAGAAAATGAGCTGAACGGGCACACTGACCCTTTGGTAGTTTTGTTCTTTGACTATTTGCTCAATTTGCTCAATTAGATGTTCAAGCTTGAAGCTAACTTCATTAACTTTGTCCTTGGCTTGAGCAATGGCGGCATCGAGGTCATGTTCTCCAACGCGGATGTCTAAGTGGATCCGCTGTGGAGACAGTGAAAGGAAGAAGTGTGTTTCTGAAACAGCTCTACTTTCCCTTCATTTTCCCTCCCCGTGCCCTCAGTTCCTCCTTCCTTTCCCCCCTTTTCAAGAGCAGGCAGCCCCTTATTCTCCTCCCTTTTCCCTCACTGCCATTCTGTCTGTTTTACTCAGCAGTCTTCTTTGTAATAATCACTGAGGGTCCTTACACCTTCCTGAACATCAAATTTCCTATCAGGCAAATGTGTTTGGTGCTGAGAGTCTGATTACTCTCCACAGAGTTTCTTTACACACAACTGAGTTTCTGATGCTAAAGTACAAATTCTCCTTGTTCATTCTCAGCACATTGAGGAAATAGCCAATCACCATCCACCATGAAGAGTTTTATTTATTGGAATTCCATTACTAATTCACCCTCAGCCCTCACTTGTTTTCAAGCCTGAATAATCACAGTTCTTTTAACCTTCCCTCACGGTTCTTATTTTTCAAGCCCTTTAATCTACTTTGTGGCACTCCTTTGAACCCCCTCCAAGCTCTCCAGCTCCCTCCTTGGTTGCTGTGCAGGACTTTAATAAGTTTCTAGCCCGTCCGGGTGTCATGGCTCTGCATACCGATGTCATGCCTGAATAGTGCCGACACTGGGTTCATCAACAAGGACGTGGAGGCGGGTACTTACCAGCTTACTCCCTCCGAATGACACAAGCCTGGTGGAATTAGATTCTAAGCAAATGATGTGTTCGCCAGGTGAATGGGAAGTAAAATAGAATGTTCCTTGTGGGCCGTATAACTTCGACAATAATACCTAGGATTGAGGATTTCCAAGATCAAGTTTATTATTCTCTAGCTGCCATTCTTAAAAGTAAATCTCTCCTGTATATTTAGTAAAAATTGTATACCTCCTAAAAAAGAAATCATATGGCCAGTAAACAAGAAAAATATTCAGACTTGCTAGTAGTAAAAAAAAAAAAAAATGCAAACCACAGAAGGATATCTCTTGTTTGTTACCAGGTTGGCAGAGATTTAAAAGTACCTGAGGACAGTGTTGAGAAATACTATCCCCAAACACCGTTTTGGGAGTGCCAATTGAACAAGCACTCTGGAGAGCAGTTTGGCAATGTGTATTGAAAATTAAAATGTATATAGCCATTGACCCAGCAGTTCTCCATATTGGAATGTATCCTATAGAAATGCACAAGTAGATAAAAGTTATACATAAGAGGATATCCAATGTGATGTTATTTGTAATAGCACAATTGCATTGTAAAAAGTGTTTTTTTTAATCCTCATCTGAGGATGTTTTCATTGATTTTAGAGAAACATTGATGTGTGAGACAAACATTGATTAGTTGTGTCCTGTGTATACCCCAACTGGGAATCGAACCCATAACCCAGGTATGTGCCCTGTCTGGGACTCAAACCTACAACTGTTTGTGTGTGTGTGTGTGTAGGACAACGCTCAACCAACTGAGCCACCTGGCCAGGTCAAAATTACATTTTTGAAATAACTTGGATACCTTTCAGTGGGGATTGATTACATTTGGGCAAAGCCACATAAAGAAACATTATGTAGCAATGAAAGAGAATGTTATACCCACATCTGTACTGAAGGTGCCACCACATCCTCTGGTGGAGCAGTAGGTACAGGGTCCTCTTTCTGTGAAAAGGCATCATGTGCAAAGCAAGCATGCACATACATGTTTCTGTGTGCTTACAGGAGGGTCTGAAGGACACACAACAAATGTTAGGTGGTAATACTTGCTGGGGGAACTTTGATTTTCTGTTTAATTTCAGTATTGCTTGGAATTGTAGAAATAGGTATAGGACTTCCAGGCTGGCATATGAGGAACTTGGAGATTGTCATTTTGTCCTAACAACATGTAAAAAGCTGCACAGAAAGAAATCACTTCTCAGATCTGTCAGAGAATTAAGGTCACAGGACAAACTACTGCCTCCAAAGTTGGAGAGACAAACAATCAAACACAGAGAACACAACCTGCCAGAGGAGAACCTCTGTGGGAATCAGTGCTGGGCTCCTTTTACCCATTACATCGTGTCCCACTTTCAACAACAACTACAAGGCAGAAGACACCATTTGAAGAGACAGAGCTAGCATCAGACTTAGATTCAGACATGCCAGGATTATCAGAATAGGAATTTAGAAAAACTGTGATTAATAGGCTAAGCACCGTAATGACAAAAGTATGTTGGAATGGATGGGCAATGTAGGCAGAGAGATGGAAACCCTAAGAAGGAGTCAAAAAGAAATTCTAGAGATTAAAATGCTGCAGCCGAAATGAGGAATGCCTTTGATGGGCTCATTTGTCGACTGGACACAGCTGAGGAGAGACTCTCTGAGCTTGAGGATAGGTCAATAGAAACTTCCCAAACTGAAAAGCAAAGATAAAAAAGACTGAAAGAAAAAATGGTACAGCATATCCAAGAACCATGGGACAACAACAGAAAGTGTAACCCACACAATGGGAACACCAGAGGGAGAAGAGAGAGGAACAAAGAAATGCAACAATGACTGATGACTTCGTCCAAATCCATGTCAGATGCAAGCCACAGAGCCAGGAAGCTCAGAGAACACCAAGCAAGATAGTACCAAAATGACTACTCCTAAGCATGTCACAGATAAAACCCTGAAAGAAGCCAGAGGAAAAAACCCCTAGCTGTAGAGTGAGAATAAGAATTATGTCTGACTTCTCCTCAGCAACCATGGCTACATACATTTTAATTTTCAATACACATTGCCAAACTACTCTCCAGCGAGAAGAGAGTGGGTGATACAGTGTTGAGAGAAAGAATACTCGCCAACACAGAATTCTATGTCCTGCAACACCCTCCTTCAGAAGTGAAGGGGAGTAAAGATTTTTTCCCGACAGACATGGAAGGACTTTGTCATGGATAGACCTGCCATGCAAGAAATGCTAAAAGAAGTTCCTTAGAGAAAGAAAATGATATGGGTCAGAAACATGGACCTGCATGAAGGACAGAGAGCAGCAGAGGAGGAATACGCAAAGGTAAAATGAAAACGTTTACTTTTCTTCACCGATCTAACACACAATGGTCTTTCTTTTCAAAACAACAGCAACAGTGATTATAATCTGTGTGTAAGTGAAATGAATGGCAGCAGTGAGGTGGGGGATGGGAAGGAAGAATTAGGAATAATTATTAAGGCACTTGCCATACCTGTGAATTGGTAGGATGTTGTTTGAAAGTGGACTTGGATTAATTGCAAATACTAGGGCAACTACTAAAAAAAAAAAAAAGTTAAAAACTTACGTGCTAAGAAATGAATTAAAATAGAATCACAAATATTTCAGGCCACAAAAGAGAAAAAGAGTGGAAGAATAGAACGGAGAACAAGGACAGTGAATGGAAAACAATATCAATGTGGTCAGTGTCAACCCAACTGTATCAATAATTGAATCTCAGTGGTCTAAGTGTACCAATTAAAAGACAGAGACTGTCAGAGTGGCTCAGAAAACAAGATCTAATGATATACTGTTTGCAAGAAACCCACTTTAAAAAAAGTCATTCAGCCCTGGCCGGTTTGGCTCAGCGGTTAGAGTGTAGTCCTGCGGACCAGAGACACCCGGGTTCGGTTCCCGCTAAGGGCACTTACCTCAGTTGCAGTTTGTCCCTGCCCTGGTTGGGGTCATGTGGGTGGCAATTAGTCGATGTCTCTCTCTTATGTTGATGTTTCTCTCTCTCTCTTCCCCACTCTCTCCCTTCCGCTCTATCTGAAGAGCTCTATTTGAAGATAAATGCAAAAATGTCCTCGGGTGAGGATAAAAAAACAAAAATAAGACATTCAGATTAAAATGAACTGGTGGACAGAGATGTATGCCTTAAGTTTACCCCAGTGTGAAGGAGGCTGGAGTAGGTTACTGACTTCTGAACAGGGGAACCAGGGATATGGAGTCACAGAGCAATGCCCAGTGAAGAGGTCCATTTCCCAAGGACTCGAGCATGTAACAGAACATCGAATCACCTGAGGCAGAAACGGAAGAACTGCAAGACTACTTGGATGGCCAGAGACATCAGCACGCACAGGTCCAGCTGACAGAAGGTCAGTGAGATCTCAGTTGAACCCAACGGCACCGTCAACCACTGCATATGACTGACACCTACAGACCACTTCAGCCAAAGTAGCAGATGATGTTCTTCCCAAGCTCAGGTGGAACAGTCACCAAGACTGACCGCACTCTGGGCCGTGAAGCACATCTCAGCACATTGAAAATCACACACAAGTGTCTGCTCTCAGAACACAATGGAGTCAATGTAGGAATTAACACAGAAAGGGGGCCGGGAAGTCCCCCAATATTTAGATATTGGAAGTATACTTCTAAACAGCACATGGGTCAAGGAATAAATCATAAGAGAGATTTTAGAATATTTTGGACTTGGAGAGGATTCTGAAAATGTGTGGAGTAGAAAGCACCAGGAATATGTCTCCCCATCTAGACAACAGTTAGTTACAAAACAGTCCTTTCTACAAATGGTGCTGGGACAACTGGACATCCAGATGCAAGAAATGAATACAGACATAGACCTTAACACCTTTACAAAAATTAACCTGAAGTGTGTCATAGATGTAAATGTAAAACAAAACTGTAGAGCTCCCAGAAGATAATATGGGAGAAAATCTAGGTGACTGTGGGTTTGGTTATGACTTCTCAAATACAACCCCAAAGGCATGACCCAGGAAAGAAATAATGGAGAGACTAGACTTAATTAAAATTTACAACTTTTGCCCTGGCCGGTTTTGCTCAGCGTTTAGAGCGTCGACCTGCGGTCCAGAGAGACCCGCATTCGGTTCCCGCTAAGGGCACATACCTCGGTTACAGTTTGTCCCCGGCTCTGGTTGGTTATGCGGGTGGCAGCCACTCGATGTGTCCCTTTCATGTCGATGTTTTGCTCTCTCTCTCTCTTCCTCTCTCTCCCTCCCACTCTACCTGAACAAAAAATGGAAGAATGTCCTCAGGTGAGAATTTAAAAAAAAAAGACATACAGCCCTAGCCACCAATGCTCAGTGGTTAGAGTGTCAGCTCGCAGACTGAAGGGTCTTGGGTTCAATTCCTGGTCAAGGGCACATACCTGGGTTGCGGGTTCGGTCCCCAGCCCCAGTCGGGGCGAGTGTGGGAGGCAACCAATTGATCTCTCTCTCTCTCTCTCATATCGATGTTTCTCTCTCTCTCTCCCCCTCTCTCCCTTCCATTCTCTAAAAATCAATAGAAAAATATTCTTAGCCAAGGACTAACAACAACAAAAAGACACACAGAGGGCAAATGAGCATATGAAGATGCTTCCCCCCATCATATGTCATTAGGGAATGCACATTAAAAATGAGACCCCCCTGCCCTGGCCAGTAAGAGCGTCAGCCAGTGGTCCAGAGAGGCCTGGGTTCGGTTCCCGCTAAGGGTACATACCTCAGTTGCAGTTTGTCCCCGGCCCTGGTTGAGGTCGTGTGGGTGGCAGCCAGTTGATGTGTCTCTCTCACATCGATGTTTCTCTCTCTCTCTCCTTCCCTCTCTCCCTCCCGCTCTATCTGAAGATGAATGCAAAAATGTCCTCAGGTGAGGATAAAAATAAATGAATGAATGAATTAATTAATTAATGAAAATGAGACCCTTGTGAGAACAACAGGAATCTGGAACACTGATCCCACCGAGTGCTGATGAGGACACAGATCAACAGGAGCCCTCAGCCACTGCTGGAAAGGCAGGACTTCAGAAGACAGCTTGGCCATTTCTTACAGAACCAAACACACCGCCCTGGCTGGGCAATTTGGTTGGAGCGTCGTTGAAAAACCAGAAAGGTTGTGGGTTCGATTCCTGGTCAGGGCACGTATGGGAGGCAACCAATCGATGTTTCTCTCTCTCTCTAAAAAATCAGTAAACATATCCTTGCGTGAGGATTAAAAACAGAACAAAAACTAAACATACTCTTACCATATGACCCAGCAGATATGTTATTTATTTACCTGAATAAGATGGAAACTTATGTCTACACAGAAGACCTGCACGTGGGTGTTTGTAGGAGCTTTATTCACAATGGCTATGGAAGGATGGGCAAATACGTGCAATCCCTCCAGACAAGGGAATGTTATCCACACCAGAAGGACGTGAGCCATCAGGCTGCGGAAAGACAGGGAGGGAACGAGGTCATGTTGCTAAATGAACGAGCCAACCTGGAAGGCTGCACATGGTGTGGTTTCAGCTATGTGATGTCCTGGTAAAGGCGAAACTGTGGCGACAGGGAGAGGGGCCATGTTTGCCAGGGATTAGGGAGGAGAGGGGGATGCCTAGGCAGGATTTTAGGGGCATGAAATGCTCTGTGTGATATGTAAAGGAAACGTGAATGTAAACCATGGGCTTCGGGTGGTGATGTGTCTGTGCAGGTTTACTGACTGTGATGAATGCACCGCCATGCTGGCGGGGGGGTGGGGGCAGAGGAACATGAGAACTGTGATCCTAAATCGGCTCTAAAAATACTCTATTAAATCATTGAAATGCAGGTGGATATTACACATAGAAAAAGTCAATGACTATTCTTTTTTTAAGTCTTTCATTTTGATATGCAGGAAATTAAAGGATCTTGCCGTGTGCATAATTCTCTTCAACAGACTGTTGATTGGGAAATTTTATTAACTAAGACTGCATTCAAGCGTTGGATTTTACAATTGATTTCTAATATTAAATGAGTAACAAAGAATTCTTCTCTGAAGAAATATTGTGACTGCTAGTTAGCTGTTTCATTCTGTTTCTGAGCTTTGGCCCCATGTCGGGCTCTCCTAGTCTGCTTCCAGCGTGACTCCAATCAGCACACATGCTCTGAATGCCTCCTAGTGTGGCGCGTCGGGAAAACCACGCACGGGTTTAAATCTCACTGTCGCTTGAAACTTGCTCACGATGAGATCTATATGTCATTCAACCTCATGGAGCCCCAGATTCTCTCCTACAAAGTGGACTAGGAATAGTGGATGTGGAATAGTGAAAATAGAGCACGAAGTGCATGTTTGCGTGGCACACATGTGTCATGGATGTGGTCTGCCCTGCTTATCCTACCAGCATAGTGTTCTCTTGGGCTGTCAGTCCATTCGTGGGAATGGGTACATGATCAGGGGCAACTTGGAGCATCCCACACCCCTGACACACTAGCCCAAGTGGGAACACAGTCCTTGTGGACTCACAGGACTCTTAGCTTGTAGGAAATGCTGTGACTAGAGCCGTTTCTGGTCACCTTCCAAGTGGGGTCCTGCCTGACAGTGAGGCCTGTGGGTGAGAGCTTTGTCCCTCCCAGTCCAAAAAGAGGGTTGGGTGTTTGCAGAATGAATGAAAATATTTCTCCTTTCTCCAAGAGGGGGTGCTGTTTCATGCAGTTGTATTTTTGAAGAACAAGCCTCTGTCTTAATACCAGTAAACAGGTTTTTCTGTGACAGTTTTTAGCCCAACTAAGATTTGGGTTCTGGTTTTAGTAAATCCTGGAGGCATTTCCAGATTGCTCATGAAGGACTATTGGAAAAGAACAAGAGACCTGGGCTTTGGTATCACTGGACAAGGGACATGGAAGGTGGGGTGCAGGGAGGACAGGTTAATGAAGTTGAAAAAAGGGTCCCAGCGGAACTGTTATGAGAGAGGTGCCGAGTGTGCCAGGGAAGACCGACACAAAGGCAAGAACTAAGTGTCCTGTGGTCCAGCTGGAATGGGCTCCCCAGGACCCAGCTCCAGTCTCCACGTGAGTAGAGGTATCATGCATCTGCCTGAGCTCAGGCCCGGGTATCACCTAGTTTTCATGAAAAGGGGAACATTGTCCTGTCTGCGTCAAGTGCCCTCTCCGCACCAGAGAGGATCTTGTTCTATAAGGCTGTGCTCCACCACCATCCTGCACCCCATGAGCACATCCCAGGACACCTCCAAGTCCAAAGGGAAGTGGTTCCTGCAACTGTTTGACTGATGGGACTGAGCAGGTCAAAGTACCTTGGGCTGGCATGGTCAGGAGAGGGCGTCTGTCATACACATTGTCCAGATGGGAAAGCAGAGGATCAGAGCAGGCAAATAACCTGCTCGAGACTCAGCTCATAGACAGCCACTAACATGGCTCTGACTGCAAACCCATGTTTTCTCCACTTGATCACAGTGCCTACTGCTCATTTGCTGACTCCCAGAGACCAGACAGACCCAGAGGCTGCCAAGCACTGGAGAAAGCCCCTGCCAGGACGGACGGGGATATGTCCTGTCTGCGGGGATATGTCCTGTCTGGCTCTCATGCTGGGATGGGGTGGGGTGTGGGGGGCCGTGACGCTGGCAGAGCAGAGGAAGCCTGGCCCCTGCAAAAGCACTGGGACTCCTTGGCCCTGTGAGCCCCTCTGCCCAGCAAGCCCAGCAGCCCTCAGTTTGTATCGTCTTCAAACTTTCGACATCCAGCATCAACTAGACTAGACATACACATCTTCCACGTCTATGTGCAGGGCCTTTGTTCAGGGTCTGCATGTTAACATTGCATGTGCTGGTCAGTGAGTACTCACACAGAGGTTTAAGTGTTTGTGGGGAGCCTGGCCAGTGAGGCTCAGTGGTTGAGCATCGACCCTGTACCAAGAGGTCGCCTGTTCGATTCCCAGTCAGGGCACATGCCCAGGTTGTAGGCCCAATCCCTAGTGGTAGACGTGCAGGAGGCAGCCAATCGATGTTCTCTCTCATCGATGTTTCTATCTCTCTCTCCCTCTCCCTTCCTCTCTCTAAAATCAATAAAGAAAAAAAAAAGTTTGTGGGGATACATGATGCGTGAATTTTAGCAAGTAAAAAATTTTAGTAATAAAACATAAAAGAATGTTTTACCTCCTCATTGTAAGTTGTAACAGTCACAAACAGCCCCAAACCAGGAGCAGATTCAAGGAAGTCCTGTCTGACCATGTCCCATTGCTGTATCTTGAAATCCCCTGTTTTAAAAGCGTAAGTGTAAGAAATAGTTATTGATGATCATAGATACATGAGCTTGCATTTTTTCATGTACCCAAATCACAGCATCTTGCTTTGACAGTCCATACCTCGGTGAGTAGGTCACACAGCAGAGCCGGAAAATGGGAACATGGAGGAGATCTGAGCCCTTGGTCCCGACTCACTCTTGTCTACAAGTCCCTTCACTCTGAGCCTGAGTTTCCTGCGCGTGCACCTTTTCCCTCAGCACCACCTGTACCTGTCTCTACCCAGGGAAAGGTCCTTCTGTGTAGCTTTCCCCGTGTAGCCTCCAAAGTACGGTGAGAATGAAAAATAGCTGACATTTACTGAACATATCTAGCAGTGCCTTATATATGCCAGGTACTGTGTGAGCATGTGACATTCATCATCTCATTTATTCTCAAAGTGTGCTCTCAGGAGAGTATTTTTATTCATTGGTTCGTTCGTTCGTTCGTTCGTTCACCGAGTCCTTTGACAAGTATGTAAGGAGCATCTTCTTTGGCAATAGCGCTATTCTAGGAGCTGAGGACAGAAGTGAATAAAACAGTGTTTTTGTCCACTGGAACTTCCCTACAGGTAGAATCAGACAAGAAGCATACAGATGGGCCAAGTTGGAGGTATTGCTGCTGAAAGAAGCAGGTAATATATATGGTGCTTGGGGTATGCGAGTACTACGTGGGGAGTCGTTTGCACACATTTGAGCTAAGACCTGAAGAAATAGGGGAGTAAAAAATATACAGTTTTGGCCCAGCTGGTGTGGCTCCATGGTTGAGCATCGACCCACGCACCAAGAAGTTGCCGGTTTAATTCCCAGTTAGAGCACATGGGGATTGAACCTATAGCCTTAGCATTTCAGGACGATGCTCTAACCAACTGAGCTACCCAGCCAGGGCCCTTAGATAATATTTTTATGACAGTTTTACACGTGATGAAACTGAAGCATAGAAACAGTAATTTGCTGAAGGTTAAATACCTAGCACATGGCAGAGTTGGGGTTCAGGCCCAGTCGGTGTGTGCCTGTGTGTGTGTGTGCGCGCGTGCGTGCACACCTTTCCCTCAGCACCACATGATGCTGTCTCCACCCAGGGAAAGGTCCTTCTGTGCAGGAGCATGTGCAGAGGTCCTGGGCAGGAGCATGCTTGGGTGTTTGAGGAACAACCGTGTGGCTAGAGCAGGGTTAGCGGGGAGAGAATGGTAGATGAGGTTGGAAGTGCAGCAGGGGCCAGACCAAGGAGGGCCAAAGGATCATTGTAAGGATTTGGGGAAGCAGTTGGTTAGAGGAGTGAAATGTTGTGGTTTTCATTGTGAAAGTTTTGTGTGGAGAAAAGAAGGAAGAAAGATTGAGAGTAGGAGCCGGGAGGCTGTTGTCGTCGAGGTGGTGTGGACCAGGTGCTGGTGGTGGAGGCTGTGGAAAGGGCTGGGTTCTGGATTGTCATCCCTGTTTTACAAGTTGGAAATCAGTCTTAGAGAAAGGCACAGCCCAGATCAACTTAGAAATAAGTTGCAGAGGCAGAATTACCACCGAAGTCATCTGCTTCCAATGCCCAGAACTGCCTCCCTGGGAGGCAAGAGGACAGCCCCTGACAGGGGCCTGAGGTGGGAGCTTCACCCATATGCCTACTGTAGGTAGGGGTAGCCTCAGAAAGTGGGGACCCCAAGAGAACATTTTCTGGGTCAGAAGGCTGCAGCAAACTCTGAAGCCTGCCTGGGCTCCGAGTGACTGGGGCAGAAGCATCTTCTGAATATATCTGGCCTCTCCTCTTCAGAAGTTTGCTAACTATATACAGCGTATACTCTATACTTTCAGAATGGTCCACATAAGAATGTTTTTTGAGAAGGTTATTGATGGTTCTGGAAAAGATGAAGCAAGACTGTTCAACCCTATTCCTCCTGCTAATTCCAACGGAAAGCCCTGGGCAGCTGTCATAAGACTGAAGAGGGGAGAAACAAGCTCCTGGCTAGAGGACCTCATGACTCAGAGCATGACTCAGCAGGCATTCGGTTTGTTTTCCCCACACATACATGTCCTTGCCTGGGAGTTGGAGCAGTGTGCAATGGCAGACCAAATCTGAGAGAGAGGAGAAAGTGAGAAAACCCGCTCCAGGAACATCGCTCTCTAGCCAGAGGATTGGGCACGGTAATCCTGCAGGATGGAAGCCCTCTAAGTATACCTGCCCTGCTCCCGATGGAAGAAATTGCACCCCTCCCCACGGGACACTGCTGATAGGAGATAGGTCGAGCCTGTCAAGATGCCCACCTGCACTGAGAGGAAAGTAGTGGCAACATCTCTCTCCAACCTCAAAGAGCTGAGGGCGGATCACAGAACGGGAGCTGAGAAAGGGATCTTTAAGAGCGTGTCTGAAGTCCTGCAAACACTTCGGAGCAGCCTGTGCATGTAACCAACCAGAATCAACATGGCAGAAGCATCCACCTGTGGTGTGGAATACTGCCTGGTCCCATGTTGGCCAATGTGTAGCACACACAGGGTAGACCACAACAGTAGTGCAAAGTCTCAGAAAATTGAACTGACATCAGGGAGTGTTCTGGATCTGAATGTGTTGACCGCCTGCTGAAGCAGAATAATTAAGTGGATTTCAGAGTCATACACTGTACTCAGAATGTACAGGGTGCACTACAGGATTATTCACTGTACCAAGAACCAGGAAAAGCTCAATTCAAATGAGAAAAGACAGTTAACAGACACCGACATTAAAATGACATCTGACAATTTTAAGCAGCCATCATAAAAGTGCATCAATTAGAAGTTGGAACACCCTTAAAGTAACAGAAAAATAGAAATTCTCAGCAAAGAGTAGAATATAAAAAAAGAAAACATGGATACAGAAGAGGAAAAAAAATTTTTAAATTGAAAACTTACCGAATGGACAATAAGAGAGTATAGATGAGAGAAAAGAGTCAGTGAACCTGAAATTAGATCAACAGAAATAATAAAATATATTCAATGGAAAGAATAGATAGAGGGAAAAGAGACCCTTGCCCAGCCAGTGTGGCTCAGTGGACTGAGTGTCCTCCCATAGACTGAAAAGTTGGGTTTGATTCCTGGTCAGGGCACATGCCTGGGTTTCGGACTGGATCCCCAGTAGGGGGCGTGCAGGAGGCAGCCAATTGATGTATCACTCACATTGATGTTTCTATGTCTCTCCTTTCCTCTCTTTAAAAAAAAATCAATAAAAACATATAAAAATTTAAAAAGAAAAGAAAAAAAGAACCTCATGAACCTATGGGACAGTAATCAAAGATCTACAGTTTGCAAGTCCCTGAGGAGAGGAGAGGTACAGTCTTGCCTCAGAGATGTCGCAGGTTCAATCCAGACCAGCGCAATAAAGTACATATCGCAATAAAGTGAGTCACATGATGTTTTGGGGGTCCTAGTGCATATGAAAGTTACATGTGCTATACTGTAGTCTGAATGTGTAATAACACATGTCTAAAAAAAAATGTGTACCTTAATTAAAAATACTCTATTGCTAAAAATGCTGACGTCATCTGAGCCTTCAGCCAGTTACAGTCTTTTCTGCTGGAGAGTCTTGCCTTCAGTTTGTAAAAAATGCAACATCTGAGAAGCTTAATAAAGCAAATTGGAAGAAAGGATGGCTGAAAACTTCCCAAAATTGTTGAAAGAAAGAAGCCTACGGATTGAAGAGGCTGAGTGAACCCCAAACAGGATTAAACTCCCTCAAATCCATCACCAGATATATCATGATCAGATTTCTCAAAGTTAAAGAAAAAAACATATAGTTGGCCCTTGTTTATCGCTGTTAATCAGTTCCATATTGTACCACAATAAATGAATTTCCGTGAAGTAGGATTCTTTTTTTTTTTTTTTTTTATCCTCACCTGAGGACATTTTTCCTTTTTTTTGTTCAGATAGAGCGGGAGGGGGAGAGAGGAAGAGAGAGAGAGAGAAACATCGATGTGAAGGGACACATCGAGTGGCTGCCACCCACACGACCAACCAGGGCGAGGGACAAACTGCAACCAAGGTACATGCCCTTAGTGGGAACCGAACCCGGGTCTCTCTGTACTGCAGGCTGACACTCCAACTGCTGAGCCAAACTGGCCAGGGTAGGATTTTTTATTTATACACAGTCGTCCCTCGGCACTTTGCACTTCGACTTTTGTGGCTTCACTCTATTGCGCTTTTTTCTAATATAGAAGTCGAAGTGTGAAGTGGCAAGGGACGACTTTATGTGGAAGACAGAGCAAAACAGTGTATTACTGGTACAACAACGATTTGAATGATGGCAGACTTCTCATCGGAAACGTGGAGGCCAGAGGAAGTGGCATATTCTTCGAGTGTTGAAAGAAAAGAATTGTCACAGAATTTTATGTCCATCAAACACATTCTTCAGAATAAAGGCAAACTATTCTTAGATAAAGGGAAACTAGGAATTTTTCCCTAGAAAACTTGCTTTAAAATAATGACTAAAGAAGTTCTTCAAACAGAAAGAAAATGATAAAGAAACGTGAAATATCAGAATGAAGAGAGAACAATGGAAAGGGTGAGTATCTTGGGAAACTGTAATCTCTTTTTTAAAAGTAGTTTGACAGTTTTTAAATGTCTGACACTTGAAAGCAAAAAGTATATATAACATCTGATGTGGTTCTCAACGTATATAGACATAAAATTTAAGACAACTATATTGTAAAGGGTGGGAAGGCAAAGGGAATTAGGGTGGAAGGTCATACATTCCACTTGGAAGGGTAGAATATTGATCCTCCTAGACTGTGACAAGTCGGGTATGTGTATTGGAATCCCAAGAGCAACCACTAATAACAACCATACAAAGAGATAGCGTGAAAAGTACTACAGATGATGCAAAGTGCAGTATTACAGAACATTCAGGTGACCCAGAGGCAGGGAGGGAATGGAAAATGGGAGCAGAACCAGACCTAAATCCTGGCATGTCAGGAATTACATCACATGTGGTAGGTGTAAACGGAGATCAGACAGGGGTGG